TTCTGAACTCTTAATTGGTGGCAGCAGTTTGCTGTGCAAATAGTCCAGAAAGTCTCTTTAGGGCAAAGGGAACCTGAAGCCTGAACTGCAGTGATTATCAACCTTTGGTCCACAGACCTGCAGGATCCATGAAAGGTGGTTGTTACCAAAGAAAAGGGGCTTTCAACCGGTAGTCTGTGGTTGGTCCATGGATCGTGTCTAAGATTTACAAAGAGATCCACACCTTCATTTGAAAATGTTCAGGGGTCCGCAGGTGAAAAATGGTTGAAAGCTACTCAAGTATACTGTATAGGAGGGATTATCTTTTGATATGCCTGTTGCTGGGCAGACAGCATCTACTTTTACTTGACTTCTGGCTTAAATAGAACTTTGACTACTTTAATGGTAGCATATTATCCAACACAAACAGTACAAAGTGCTTCATCAGAACCTTTTGCCCTTCTCTGTGTTGCATGTGTTGAACTAACAAATGTTCATTTATTAACTTCTTGATCTCTTACAGATTGCTGATCTGCAGCTCCATAAACTGGATGAGCTGGACTGCTTGATCCAGGGCCTGCTGTATGTTGATTCTGTTGGGTTTAATGGCCAGCCAGAGTGCTATTATTTTGAAAATCCCACCGATCCTGAACAGTGTCAGAAAAAGCCTTACTGCCTTGATAATCCATATCCAATGTTGCTGGTTAATATAGGCTCAGGGGTCAGCATCCTAGCCGTGTATTCCAAGGACAACTATAAAAGAGTAACAGGGACCAGGTAAATATGCCATATATATGGGGTCAGATTATTGTCACCTCTCTCCCCATCCCTCCATAGGAGACGGCTTGGAGGCAGCTGCAGGGCACCCTCTGCCAGGGACCTAGTGACCCCAATTGAATTGTAAAGTTATCCTCTCTTTATGGAGATTCTCACATTGTCAAAACAAAACAACAACTCCCTCCCCCCCCGCCCCCCGCATTGTGTCTCATGCTGTTGGCCATTTAAATACAGCAGGTGTGCAATTTTTGAATTGTGTAGGAAAAAATGAAAATATCTCCATATATGATGAATATTGGGGGGAGGGGGGATTATTTAAACTAAAAATCTAGTGTTTTTTTTTAAATTATTGAAGCATTTACTAATACCCTTTATATTTTTGCTATTAATACCACAAAATAAATATTAATCTTGGTATAATAGTTCCCAGCTTGCTTAATCTTTCCTAGTAATGATCATTAGATATTGCCAGCCCCCTCCAAAACTGAAGAATTTATTTCTAATTGTGTGTGTGGTTTTCTCTGACTTCCTTCCCCTTCATTGTCAGTCCGCCATTCATATTAAAATCTCCTAATGTTGCATCTTTTCTCCCTATCTTTTAATGGGTAAGCTATGGCAAACCTCTGTGGCTATCCCCACTTCTCAGAGGATACATAATTCACTAAAGTTCTGTTCTTCGTAAAGCTTGAATGTACGTTCAAATCTAAGGATAGATCAGTTAACATCGAAAGCATGCTGAAAATTTCACTGTTTTTCATTATACTTACACATAGGATATAAAACATGTTTACTTCAACCTGTATAAATAAGTGTGTGTGTGTGTGTGTGTGTGTGTGTGTCTACACAGCAGCTTTATTTCAGAATAACTGGCGTTATTCCAAAATAACATAGTTTGCGTCTACACAGCAAGCAGTTATTTTGACATAATGTTGAAATAATGTCGAGCTGGATGACTTCTTACCCCGACTCCTGTAGCCCTGTATTGTATGAGGAGTAAGGGAAGTTGGAGGAAGAGTGCTCTAACTGGGACTTCCTGCTGTGTAGACAGCACCAAAAGCCGAAATAAGCTATTTCAGCTTGAGCTATGCAATTGATGTAGCTCAAGTTGCGTTGCTTATTTCAGCTTTTAGCCCTGCTATGTAGACATGCCTTGTGTGTGCTGCTCCCCCCCCATGAGTAATATATTTTAACTCATTAACTTGAAAATTCCTTTGCCTTTAGCTTCTGTATCCTTGAACTGTTTGTCTGTTTCCCAGTATATAGTTCAAACAAACTCAGAGTAATCAGTCACTTTTTAAAGCTGTAGGGCTTGGATGCCCTGTTACATACCATAGCTCCATTGACTTCAGTAGAGTTGTAAGAGGAGAATCATGCCCATAAGCCTGTATGTTGTTTTTTATGTGGATAATTTTTAACTAATTCAAAACTCTGAATTTTATATAAATATGTGTATTATTGTTTAATAACTAATATATTGGAGTGGTACTTGATTCTGATTATTCAGATCTGAGATTCTCTAGTTAATTGGTGCAAAATTGACCTGGATCATAGGCAAATACACTTTGTGGAGTGAATTAATAGTCCACTTTCTAGTTGGTCAGCTGTCCACTCCATAGAAATACTGTCCCACCTTGGACTAGTTTTCACCCTTTTCAATAAAGGGGTCAAGGAGTGAATAGGTCAAACTATTTCTTGTTTCTGTGACATAGGCGTGTTGACAGGAAATTTTGGAGAAATATGTATGGAGTGTCCCATACGCTCCGTGGTACACATCCATTCCACACTGAAGTCATTGACACTCATAGAAACAGATGTGTTATAAGTCCTTCCATTCCCTGCTCTTAAGTTGCACCAAAAAAAAACAAAACAAAACCCCCAATTTGTGCAAATGAAAATCGGCCATGGGAAAAAATTCCCCAGTTTCAGTTGTTTCACTATAAGTCCAAGTTTTTTGGAACGTATCCTGGACTTATAACGAGGACAGCCTGTACATTCAGCTCATTTGATAAATAGGATTTTCATCTCCAGGCCCCTCACCCTGCACAAGCACTGAGTTCACACATGAATTCAGCTTTAAAAAATGTTGGTGCTGAGTCCTGTCGATGCTGAAGGTTTGGAAATCTGGAGGAGTTATACGAATATTCAGCATCCTGATATGCACATGATAAATATGTATTATTTTATTTACATAACCAAGAAATGGCCTGATTATCTGAAGTGAAGCCTGACAAGGTAGCAGTACAGAACAGGCTTAAAAAACATTAAAATTCCCAAATGCCTTGATGGCTTTGGCACCTGTAGGTAGCCCTGGCTGCTCTTTGTGGCTTTGCCCCGTTGCACCTTGCCCTGGACAGGAGGGTTGAGTTGATTAATGGGATTGTTGCTTGCCCTGGTCTGGGAAAGTATCTAGCTGCTTCCTGTTATTATCTAAAGTGTGCTTTGGCTAGCCTGCTGGTCACTTGCTAGGCATCCAGCTCTTGCTGCTCCTTGCCCATTTATTTCTGGATTGGGGGGGGGGGGGTGTGTGTGCTTTGGTTGCTGATTACCAGTGATTTCCACTCTGACCCCTATGACCAGGGAGAGATGGCTAGAGCCCAGCCCACAGATACTTGAGCTATAACTCCCAAGTTTACAACTAGGTGGGGTTGAGGTGGGTTGGAGCAATGTACTGTAGGCTGCATCCCTGTGGTTTGTCCTCCCAGCTGGGTCTTCATAAATAGCATTCCCAAGCTTCTAATATGGGGATTATACCTGGCCTGGCTCATAACTATAAATGCAGCCAACCATATGTTTCCTCCATTGGTCCAAAATAGGAGATGTGAACTTCTAGACAGAAGCCATGCAAAGAGCAAGTAAAAGCAAGAGACCGAGAATGTCTGGATGTTGCTTCTTAGAGTGGCCTGGTGCCTAACAATTCTGTTCTCCTTTTAGTCTCGGAGGTGGCACATTCCTGGGCCTGTGCTGTTTGCTGACTGGCTGTGAGACTTTTGAAGAAGCACTAGAAATGGCAGCTAAAGGAGACAGCACTAATGTCGATAAACTGGTGAAAGATATTTATGGGGGAGACTATGAACGATTTGGCCTTCAAGGATCTGCTGTAGCATCCAGGTACATATTTATCTGGTTGTTTTCAAAGAGCTCAGTAGATATTTGCTGTGCATGCTCAACTGAGCTCTTAATGCCTAGATAGTGTCTTTTGTCTGTGTATAGAAGTTGCCCTGCTGTGGTGCAGAGTTCTCATTTAGGATCTCTTCTGTTTTTGTTTTCTAATAAAGTATAAAAATATTCAAAGCGTAGCAAATTTAAAATTATTTTGAAAGAAGCACCTTTATCCACTGTAACTATATTCACCCATTCTGTTTTTCTTTATTAAGAGGTCCTTTCTCACATGTCCGTGTTGTGCCCAGAGTCAACAGCATCAAATCCAAGCAAAACTGTTTATAATATAAACTTACTGAGATGGATCTGTGAATATTTAACCTTTCTGAATAATTTAGAATAAAAAGGACTGATATTTCCAACACAGCTTTGGCAACATGATGAGTAAAGAAAAAAGAGATTCCATCAGTAAAGAGGACCTGGCCAGAGCTACCTTGGTCACTATCACCAACAACATTGGCTCCATTGCTCGCATGTGTGCACTGAATGAGGTAATTCTGCAAATTTTACTATAAGTTTCATTGAAACCTCTAGCATTAATGCAGTAGAGACTTCACTTACTGATTTTGTTATGTGCTTATATACCTATTCTATGACTGTCCCACTAGATAGATATACATATTTAATTTTGACTTCTAGCTCTTTTGAAGTCTGTTATTTGCAAATGCAAAGTATTCCTTCCTAAGTGGAGTAATCAGATGCACACATACAAAATGGGAAATGACTGCCTAGGAAGGAGTACTGAGAGCGCGATCTAGGGGTCACAGTGGACCACAAGCTAAAGGTGAGTCAACAGTGTGACACTGTTATCAAAAAAGCAAACATCATGCTAAGATGTATTAACAGGAGTGCTGTAAGGAAGGCACAAGAAGTAATTCTTTTGCTCTTCTCTGCACTGATTAGGCATCAGCCTGGAGTTTTGTGTCCAATTCTGGGTGCCACATTTCAGGAAGGATGTGGAAAAATTGGAGAGGGTCCAGAGCAGAGCACCAAAAATCATTAAAGGTCTGAAAAATACTGGCCTGTGGACCAAATCCAGTCCCCCAGGGTTAGCCCCTAGTGGGCTGTCACTGTTGTTTTTACCTCTAAGTGCGGGTGATTGTAGCTCCCATTGGCCATGGATCTCTGTTCCCGGCCAATGGGAGCCACAGAAAGCGAAATGGACCAGAATACCGCTTCCCACAGCTCCATTGTCTAGGAATAGCACTCTGTGACGAACAGGCGCTGCAGTTGTCCATACTTGCAGAGGCACAGGTAAATGTAGTGGGGGCCTGCTAGGGACTAACCCTGGTGATCCACCACTGTTTTATTTCCCACCCCAATTTAGATCGAGAGCTAGGGAAGGGTGAGCTGGCAGTTTTCTCTAGGCACTGGAGGCCAGGGGCAAAGACTTCATGTACTCTCCCTCACCGCAGGCTTGAGGCCCTGCCATTTCCTGGGTGGCCCATGACCATTTCAGAAATTTGTGGCGTGGGGGAGGCCCTTTGCCCTCCAGTCCCACTAAGCACCAATGCCCTGGAAGAGGCTTGGCACGCTCCCCTTTCCCCAGGCCAATCAGAGCCTCGGGGTGGGGGAGTGTGGGAAGTCTTCCGCCCTGCGAGGAGCATATGGCACTAGAAGTGCTGCGGGCTCCTCGCAGGGCCAGGGTAGGGTGAAGGAAGCTTCATGCAGCTCCCCCGCCCCCAGGCCCTAATTGACCTGGGGGCAGAGGCCCTTTTGCCCACCCCTTCTTTACAACAAGGCACAGGACATTTGTTTAAAAAAAAAAAAAGTTTTTATAAATAAATAAGCACTCCTATAATTAACGATCTCTAGAGCCTTTCAGTTGTTCTCACTTTAGAGCACAGGGACATGAATATCCATGTATGTAGTGATCCAGTGTTTCTCTTTAACTATTGCTTTAGTACAGTGGTTCTCAAACCGGTCCTCAGCTGCCTTCCAGGTGGTCCATAGTTCAAGGTCAATCCCGTCTTCGCTGCACAGCAAGGAGCCCATGCTGGCACTCCAGCCTTGCACTCCTTCCACTTCCCCCCTCAAGGTTGGAGCACTAATGCCTGCTTCCTGCTTGGGGAGTGATGGGGAGAGAGAAAGCCCCCAAGCCTTGCCGCACCATCCGGCTCGCAGGGAAGAAGCGCTCCCCCTCCCCTGGTTGAGGGAACATGTGGGCATGCTGCCTGGAGGCTTTCCCCGCTGCTCCCATTGGCCGGAATTCAGTCAATGGGAGCAGAGGGAGGCGGTGCCTGGGAGCGTGCAGCATGGAGCATGAAAGTAAGTACCCCGTCCTGACCAGACCCCATACCCCCAGCCCGCTCTTGCACCGTCCCACCTGGCCAGACACTGTACCTTCCCTTGTTATTGTCCCCTTCCCCTGGCCAGACACACTACTCCCAGCCTGCTCCTGCACCCCACCTCCTGCCCAGATCCTGCACCCCCATCCCTATCCTTCTTGCTGGCATCCCTGTCCTGCACACTGAACCCTTTATTTTTGTCCCAATCCCAGCGCCTAGGGGGATCCAAAAAATCCACTAATCCTGGAACCTCACAAGAGTAAATCTGGCCTATGAGGAGCCCTGAACCTCAGTCTTCCCTGTCCTTCCCCTGGTGGCAATGGAGTGCCAGAGGAGTGAGATGTCTCAGCTGGGGGGGCACATCAGTAAGGGTTGGACATTTTTGGAGGGTTGTGGGATGTGTTTGTTTGTTTTTTAACTTCTCATTTGTGTGGGCCCCAACTGATTTTTTTTCCTGTTGGTCAGTAGAACCAAAAAAGATACCCAACCATAAATAAACAAAATATGGAAACCTTTGGTGTTAGACATAAATTAATATTGTACTTCATTTTAAATAAAGTTTGATAAACTAACATGAGAAAGTTAAAGCACTTAATGTGTTTAATAATTTAAATTAACATTTCCTTTCTTATGGTTAAATGAAACCATTCTCCCTAGTTGCAGCACTTGCAAAATGGCTCACGCGTAATTATATAATTGACAGTTTCCATTAGCAACTGCTGGTCCATGGAAAGGTTTGCATTGAGCCAGGTGGGCCACGGGCCATGACCTATTGGTTAAGAACTATTCATGGAGTTAGTTTCATTTTCTGGAAAGCTATCTTCAGTCTTGAGGGTTTTCTACATTCTTTTTGCTTTCAGCTTCTTTACAGTGTTGCCTTGTGGCATGGAGTTCAAGCAGCATTGTACAGGGCTATCAAAGCATCGAGAGTTACAACAGAGACCTGCTTGTGGTGCATTAAAAGGAGAAAAAAGATCACTAATGACACTCTGCAATGTGTTATGCCTCTGCAAAGAACTTTTTAACTATTTGCTTAATGGATAATGTCTTTTAACTGGATGTGATCAGTAGCACTACTAGGAAGAATGGGTAAATGTTATAAATAGCTTGCATTTCATAGAGGACATCTGAATAGATTTCCCCCCCCCCCAGCACTTTGATCTTGTTTGTTATGCTTATTTTAGTTACATGACACAAAGGATGAGCAGTTATTCACAGTGTGTGATGGGCTAGCATTACAGAGAAAAATCCTAGGCTGAATCTTAAAATAAATATTTTTGTTCTAGGAGAAATTGTGATATCACTGGTTTCATTAATTCAATAACCAGTTTTTGATCTTTTCAGAGAAAGCAAAGCTACCCCTGCCAGCAAAATGCACATAGCCTGTTGTGAAGCATTGTGTGTTGGTTCAGGGGTATGGTGATGATTCCTTTGTGACTTGCGTAAGATTTGATGAGTCTTATGATTGTAGCTTAAACATATTAATGAAAAAGATTCAATATGAGGATGATAAATAAATAAATAAATAAATAAATAGAAGGTTCTTTTTCCTGAGCTTCAAAGCTGTGATGGCTTGCATAAAGATGTGTGTAAATTCTGTAGCCAGAACATTTGGATACATGTCATTGAAACACTATCCCATAGATTTGCACAAAGGACCCCCACTCCACTGTTCACAGTTGAGGGAAGTGATTTGCATCTTTCCTAGCTACAGAGCACCTAAGGTACAGACTAAGGCTGCTGCTTACAAACTGTACAATAACCCTCTGTACTGCATCAATATAGATTTCATTGTATAACTAAATTGGCCACACATACATACTCTGTAGCCTTCCAAAGTTAGGCTATCGATTTTAACAGCGTAATGAAAAACACTAAAAGAACTTTGGTTCTCTTAAAAATAATTTGCCATAAATCTTGCATACTTGTCATAGGATAGTGAACTCTATGTATGAATAGTTTTCCTTAGGTTTAGGATTTTCAATAAAAGGGGCATGTGTCTGTTAGATACCATTTGTTTTGATTCTCTAATAACTTCATGGTCGTAATTTTTTGCAGGGAGCAGGGGAGGAGAGGAAAGTGTAAGAGTGAAGTTAAATTTGGTTCCTGAACAGCTTGCCAGTGTGTTAAGAGAAATGTATTGCAAATGTCTTTGCTATCAGTTTTCAAGAAATGTGTTTTACAAGATAGAAGCCCCTGTGTCTTTTTGGGGAGTGCAGAATGTTGCTGCTAGTTTTTAATCTTAAATTGTAAAAGATTGATTTACTCCTTATCTCCAGCCAAATAAGTTTATAGGAGGGTATGCTGATGTATGTTTATGTGGCCACAAATTCTAAGATTTCTGTCCTCCAAGACTAAAAATTGCATTATCTAAATAAAGCTTTTGTTGCTAAATATAGTCTCATGCACATTTGACTCTCTAGCCATGTTAATATAAATAACTGGACCATGATGTACTTCAGCACTATCCAATATCTTACACATTTTGAGTGTGATATCCTCTTCTCACTACACCACTGGACAGTGCTAAAGGACATCATGGTCTAGTTATTTTTATCAGCTTGGCTAAACTACTTACAAGAGAAGTCAAATGTGCAAATGAGATTATCTAAATAAAGCTTTTGTTAATAAATGTAATGAAGTTTTACAGTCATAGACTTCTGATTAACCCTCGGGAGTTTGTGGCCCCATATGCAGATGTCACCATTATCTTTAGAGAGAAATCTGTGGATGTTCGGCAGAGACTGTTCATGAAATACATCACCTAAGCTCCCAACAAGAGTCTTGTGAGCTTTTGCACCCTCAGCTGTGCACTAGCTCTTGAATTGTTGACTTGCTGGGTGTGAACTATTTTAAATTAATGAGTGTTGGATGCTGTTTCTCTTCATGCATCATCACCAGAACTGGATTCCATGGAGTAGTATAATTGTAAGTTGGGGCATAATGATCTACAGGAACTTTAATTACAGGTGGTGATGTGTGAAAAGCCTCTTAAATTGAAGTTAGTGAGATGATTTTCTGGATTTTTAAAAATGTTTTTGAATGATTTTCCTTATAAATAGAGCACAGTTAATATAGAAACCAGTGGGATATAATAAATGTGGAAACTCAACCTGCCATTTTACAGTCACTTTTCAGAATGGAACCTCAGTTTGGGAATGATGTTTACAGATGTCTTTTCCTATGTCTCCAAAGTAATTCTTATCAAATACCCTTCCAAGGTTCCTTTGGAGCCAAATGGAGTTGTTGATTCTCTTGACTTTTCAAAAGCTGTTTCACCTAATATCAATGCATACATAATAAATTACATGGGTAATAAAATGGACATAGTATTGGTAGCTTACATGTCAGTTATACACATCAGAGAAACTCTCACACTATCATATATCTTGTAATTGCCATTTGATTACATGTATATTAACACATTAGTGACATATTTTATCCTGTCCTTGAAATAAAATCTGCCTGCCTTCTGCCACTTACCTCCTTAGTAAACACAGCTACTTACTGCTTTTGGGGTTTCACTTGCAGGGATTAGGGATATGATATGATGTATAAAGTTCAAAATTACCAAGTTTTTTTTCTTAATCCAAATAAATGTGCATGGCTCTAAAGCAGCACATCTACTGAATTTAGTTTTGTTCTTCATCTATATATTGTTATTTTACAGAACATTGACAGAGTGGTATTTGTAGGAAACTTTCTCAGAATCAACATGGTCTCTATGAAAGTGCTAGCATATGCTATGGATTATTGGTCCAAGGGGCAGCTGAAGGCTCTGTTTTTGGAACATGAGGTAGGGTAATATATCCATTGAATTCCTTTTGTATTATAGAAAACTATTTCTATGATGCGTTTGAGTGTACAGTTGCCATAGAGATAGGGTTGCCAGGTGTCGGGTATTCACCTGGACAGTCTGGTATTTTTGGCTCCTGTCTGGTTAAAAAAAAAAAATTAAGAGAATACCGGACACTTAAAATGTCCGGTATTTTGTGAATTTTTCCCCAGCCAGGAGGCAAAAATGCCGGGCACCTGGCAACCCTACAAACACTCAGCACCCGGCCTCCTCCTCCCCCAAACCCTCCACTGGCTCCCAACACCTCCAGCCCCTTGCTTACCTGGTTCCCCAAGGCAGCCGGCACAAAATGGCTGGCGGCCCAAAG